AATACCCTTTTTATAAATTAATTTTTTTTTTTTTTTTTTTTTTTTTTTTTTTTTTTTTTTTTTTATTTATTATCTATATTGAAAACTAAAGAATAAGGGAAAGAGAAGAAGAGAAAGAATAGAGAAAAACGACTGTTTTTCACACATATAGAGACAATTTTTTTTTTGTTCAATCAAACGATAGACAAACTCCGGTATTGTTCGTTGAATCATGTTTCCGTAAAAAATTATCTTCTATATTATCTCACACGTTATCATAACTTTGAGAATAACGGGAGCACAAAAGAGAAAAATGATTTGACACTTTTATTTTGACTTTATTATTTCTAATGAGCGAAACTTCAAAAAAAAAAAAAAGAAGAAGAAAACGCAAGTTTTTTATTCTTTGTTTGATTAATCGTTACAAAGACTATATATCTAACTGATTTTCATTTTTCTTTTCTTTTTTTTAGAAATAGAAATTATTCAATGTTATTCTTTTCTACCACGGCTGCCTTCTTCCTAGTATTCACCAGTATTTCTAGACGAATAATTAATTGTCAAAAATTACCTAGTTTTCGTGCGACACATAGTCCACTATATAAAAATGTTTATCTACCGGGTGATGTTATATTGGGCGGATTCTTTCCTGTTCATCAACCACCATTATTGGATTCTGTTACAACAACAGAATGTGGTTCAATTAAGAAAGAACGAGGAATACAACGTTTAGAAGCAATGCTATTTGCACTAGATGTTGTTAATTCAAAGAAAAATAAATTAATGTCAACATTGTTAGGTGAATCAAATATAAAATTTGGAGCATTAATATATGACTCGTGTGATTATGAAAGTTATGCTGTAGAACGTGCAATGAACATTTTACTACCAAATATTAATTATTGTCCAAAAATTGAAAATGTTGATAAACAAAATGCTCCGGTGGTAGGAGTAATCGGTAGTGCATCATCGGTAGTATCAATGGCAATCGCCGATATTTTACGTTTAGCAGAAGTAAGTGACATGAGATTATTTTGTTCAGAAAACATATCTGATTTATGAATAATTTATGTCTGTTAGGAAAAATAGTATCAATGAATTCAGATGTCATCTCAATGCTAAAGCGAATGAGAGAAATGATAATATTTTATTGCTAATTTTACTAACGATTAGTCAAAAATTGATTTTTATCAAATATCTTCTTCTGTACTGGTAATAAGAAAAAGCATAGATGAATCAATCACTATTTATTTTAATAATCATACATATTTAATTATTAGACCTGTTGCAAAATGAAGGAGGAAGAAATATTCTTCTCTTTCTCTTTCTCTTTCTCCTTCATCTTGCAACAGGTCTGTTCTTTTTACATAAATAACGCTATCAATAGTTGATCTTTGAATTATACCTTAACACATACACAAACTCAGAAAAAACAAAAAATAGCGAATTTTTTCTAAATATTAAAAATATCATATTTATTAAGCAATTTATAAAGCATAATTTTGAGTTCCGGACTAGTTGAGATCGCATATTTGAAATATCTAGTTGCGAATTTTCATTTATTCTTCTAACAATGTTAATAACGCCAATTAAAGGTTAATATACTATTTCTACGATAATATTTCTTTTCCTCTTCTTTGAAAAATACACAAAAAAAAAAATAATAATAATGCATGCTTGGATTATAAGATTTGCTCTCATTTACTGTAATAATTATTACTCCTCCTCTTCGCTCTTCATCCATATGTCTTGCGGAATAACAAGATAATAAAAGGAACAGTGTATGCACTATTGTTCATTTATCAAATTATTAGAAACGCAAGATGATACTGCTAGTACTAATAATCGTCTTTTCTTTCGTGTTTGTGTGTGTGTATATAGAGGTAAAAATACAAATAATTTTTTTCCTTTTTTGTCTCGATACGGAGAGAGGGGAAAAGAAAGAAAGAAAGAAAGAAAAAACCTATAATGTTCATTTGCTTTGATGATGACTATAGCACTTCCGCTGTTTCCTCCGGACATTTGAAATTGATTCTCTCTTGTTTGGTGGTGATGATGAAGAAGAAGCAGAAAAAAGTAGCAGTAAATGATTGAATTAGTAGTGACAATAAATTATTTTAAGAAAAAATATGTTGTTTTACACACATAATTCTAAAAAAGGAAATCATTATAAGAGAGAGAGAAGAGAAAGTTGATATCATCTTAAAAATACATAACTAATTTCCTTTCTCCTCAATTCCTAATAAATGATTTCAAAATTGTTAAAAAAAGTTCTATGTCTCTAGTCTCGGCAAGCACCGATATTTATTGATCACACACAATTCCTCGGTGTTTTCATATAAAATTTTTAGTACCGCAAAATGTGCCCTTAAAAATTTTGATCACTCAGTCTTGTAGAGCAAACATTTTTCTACAAGATGAGGCATAACAACACTTTCCATCTTGAATCAGTACGTAGATAAAAACTGTATACCAAACGTCCCACGACCGGTACTGATACCGGTACCGGTTAACAGCTATTTAGAGTTTTTCATCGAGAAGCGATTGTGGCAGACACAAAAAAGATGAAGAGTTGTGCCATATCTCATTTTATAGAATAATGCTTGCTCTACAAAACTGAGTCGTCAAAAGATTTTGACAGTTTGTAATTTTTAGTCAATCTGATTCAGAAAAAGGGAGAATATATCGATAAATACCGCTGTATGCCTGTTCTCTGGGCTCCACTACCATGAACGACCAAAATAACTAATCATTGTAATAAAGTTTTTGAATGCTAAAGTTACTATGATGTGTAAAAATAGATGAAAAACCTATTTTCAACCAAAAGGAAAACATATTAAAGAAGGAATCATACGAATGTGTTGGTGTATTGTTACAACACTTTCACCATCGTTATTCTCAATCACCTTAGAGAGAATTTGCTTTTAAAAAAATAAAGGACAAAATATATTTGTAAGAAAGACAAATTTATAGTACAGGGATGTGCCGACGGTTCAATTTTATGTACGGGAAAGGGGAAGAAGAGTAAAAAAATTTCTTTGCCGCAGAAGAAAATAATAATTTTCAAAGGTTTCAACTACCCAAAATAACTTTTGCCTATTTGAAGACTATAAGAGAGACAATACATCGACTAGAATATTCTAAACGGTTAAAATTTATTGATTAATTAATTAAATTTTTTATCTATGTGAGAAGAATTAATTACATCTGAAATGATTAAACTGTTCATAGTTGTTCTCAATATTAAATAATTAATTATTCTAATTTTACTAACGCTAGAATAAACACAATAGTACATAAATTTTTAATTTAGATTCCACAAATATCATATGCGTCGACAAGTTCTGAATTGAGTCAAAAACCTCGTTTTCAATATTTTTCTCGTGTTGTACCTCCCGATACTTACCAAGCGGAGGCTGTGAGTGGAAAAATAATTTAAATTTTATTCATTTATTGAATACAGTTTACATCTTTTCTTTTTCTCTTTCTAAAGGTTGTAGGAATTATTCAATTTTTAAATTGGACTTATGTGGCTGTTATCAAAGAGACGGGAAGCTACGGAGAACGTTTAACAGATGATTTTAAAGCTAAATTAAAAAATAAAAGTAGAATATTTTCTTATCTCTTCCTATTACAATAATTAATAATATTATTTCTATTTTATTCTAAAGCTGTGTGTATTGCCGGTGAACTCTCTGTCAACTTGAAAGATATGGATTCTTATGCACGCGTATTAAAAGATTTACATAGCGATGAAAAATATAAAAATGTAAAAGGCGTTGTTGTACGTATCATTTGAACAGATAACCGTTTTTTCTTTATCTATTTATATTTTGATCGTTTATAATTTTTTTAAGTTGTTTGCTCAAGAAGATTCTGTTAGGTATGTATATCTATTTATATATGTATCAGTGTGATATGAAATAGAAATTGTTTCATAGAATATTTTTAGACAGCTTCTTAATCAAACATCATCTCATAAAGAGTCGAAGAGAAGATTTATTTGGATTGGAACAGATGGATGGGGATCTAAAACGTATCCAGTTGAAAATTTTGGAAAAGCAGCGATTAATGCCTTTACAATCGCTCCAAAATTATTTCCTATTAAAGGTGTGTGTGAGTGAACATAAGATCTATTCTATTCATCTATACTTTTTGTTGTAGAGTTTGATACGTATTTTAATTTATTGCGTCCATCAACGAATGTTAGAAATCCATTTTTCATCGAATATTGGGTAATTTAAATAAAATGAATTATTCTGTAAATTGTCTATATCAACGAACGGTTTTTTTTAGGAACAAACATTCAAATGCAAATTTAATAACACGCCAATTACAATTTTTAATGAAAATTTTACACGTATTTGTACAGGTATATACAACATTTTCAATTCAGTTTTTATGTGATTTCAGAATGATAATTCTCATTTTTAGACGAGGATAGCAGTGATCCATTAACATCAGTACCCTACAGTCAAGAAGGTATAGATTTTATTACTTTAACTATTTTATTTTTTATTAATGTAGAAAAATGGTAATTATAGGTTATGTTCATTATGTTGTTGATGCTGTTTTTGCTTTGGTCATTGCGGTGCAAAAGTTCATTATTGAAAAATGTAAAACAAAATCATTATGTGATAATTTTTTTCCTGTTAACGGTACACGTCTTCTATCAATTCTACGAAATATAAGTTATAAAAATGGTAAGCAAAATTCATATCATTTTGTCAATATTTATTTTTAGCAAAATCACGTAGACAATTTTGAGTGTGACTAATTGTGTGAAATTTCTCATTGAGTAGTTTACACACTACTGCTTTATTTCTCTCTAGCATCGTGTTGTTAAAAGATAGTCGCTCATTAGGCACTGAATAGAAGAAAAAATAAATTTCGAGTCTATTTTCACTTGTAATATTTTCGGCAAATTTTTTGTTTTTTAGATTTAAGTCAACGAAACATTCGTTTCACAGCTGAAGGTGATGGTATTGGTACTTATGATATCTTTCAGTATCAAGTGATAGATAATACTGGAAAATTAGGTTATATCACAATTGGCGATTTTAGTGATAATGATGGTACTGGTGAACAGTATGTATTATGTTGTGTGATTCATTCGTTAAAATAGTTAAGAGTTTGATTCTCTTTTCTTAAATTTTAGTGTGCATATTGATTTACAAAAACTAAAATGGTTTAATTCCACTGAATTTGGAGTCTGGAAAATAACGACAATTAGTCCACGTTCCTATTGTACTGAACCATGCAGGTTGGTAGATGTATTATACTCAAAACTAGTCTGTAACAATATAAAATAACATTTTAGATTTGGTGAAATTCGTACAGCTAGTGATAGTCAGCAATGCTGTTGGACATGTCGAAAATGTGATGTATTTCAAATAGCCATTAATGAAACAATATGTTCTTCATGTTTAAAAGATGAGATGCCAAATGCAAATTTAACTAAATGTATTAAAATTGAAGAAGAATATTTGTCAATAAAAAATGTTATTGCATGGCCGGCAATCATCTTGTCTTCTATTGGTCTTATAATGACTTTGTATACTATCATTATTTTCGTTCGTTTTGGCCGAACACCGATAATTAAAGCATCAGGTCGTGAATTATGTTATCTATTATTAGCTGGAATATGTTTTTGTCATTTATGTGCTTGGCCATTGATATTAAAACCACATATTATCACATGTTTTTTAATACGTATTAGTGTTAGTTTAAGTTTGACAATTTGTTTAGCAGCTCTACTAACAAAAACAAATCGTCTAGCAAGAATATTTAATAGTACAGCAAGTCGAAGTTTAAAACAGCCGTCATGTTTAAGTCCACGTTCTCAAATAGGTCTATGTAGTGGAATTGTCTCCGTTCAGTTGATCGGTGTTATTCTATGGATTATTATTGCACCACCATCCGTTAAACAAAAATCAGAGGTGAAACATAGTCAACGACGTCTTGTAAGTGTATGTCAAACAGAAAATGAATACATTCTATTTTCGTTGATATACAATATGATATTAGTTATTTGTTGTACACTATATGCGATAAAAACACGACATATACCAGAAAATTTTAATGAGGCGAAACATATTGGATTTGCAATGTATTCTGTGTGTATTATTTGGATGGCATTTTTACCCATCTTTTTTGGCGTTCGAAGTAGCGAAAATTGGTTTCGAGTAGGTCGTTTCGATAATAAAAAAAATCATATAAAAATACGTTTGGTCTTTTATTCTAGATTCAACTGGTTTGTTTAGCAATCTGTCTGAGTCTGAGTGCAACCGTGATTCTTATATGTTTATTTGCTCCAAAATTGTACATCGTCTTGTTTAATCCATCAAAAAATATTAATTATAAGTTTAAAACAACACTCGGAACTTCGACAACAACAAGTGAAACTAATAATTCAATTGCGAATAAAGAACACCGTTCACCACTGCAACGTATTTCGAATATGTTAAATGATAGAGAAAAACAAAATTCTCCTAGATCACGTGTACCATCGATTGATTACACTGAAGTGACGATGTATTCAAAATCAGACAGTGCTGGTTTAGGGGATGAAATACAAATGTTGAATGGGGCCTGTACAGATGCTGAACGACGGATAGTACCCACGTGTTATTCTGTGCCGCAGCCACAAACAAATAGCGAAGAATTGGCAGAATTAATTCCAAAATTCGTAGAAAACCCATGGAAGAAAATTGGAAATGTTCGAATTAAACTTGATTCACCTCTACAAGAAGAATATATTCATGCTGAACATGTGACGTTTGTGTAAAAACATTGTTATTATGTTACTGTTTTAGATTCAAATATTGTATTTTACTAATACATTAAATAGAGGACTCAAATTCTGTTCTTTAGCTTTCAAGAACTCAAAATTTGTTTTTCAATTTTCAAAGAACGAAAAAAATCAGTTTTCTAAAAATTGAAGAACAAATTTTGAGTTCTCTCTATTTGGGACAAATGAAGAATAAAATTCCCATTGGTTGTTCAGTTCTTTGAAAGACTGAAGAACACCCTTTCTTACAGTGTAACCTTTTCTTTTTGTGTAATAAAAAAAAATGTGCTCAACATTACTTAAATTCAACATTAGAAACCACGATTTTGATTATACTATATCATAGCGTTTTCATTATTCTCAACTCTAGTTTCGAGAAACTTAACACAACAAATTTTATTGTTCTGATCTATCAAAATCTAATCATTATAAAAACCGTTGTTTTTTTAATTTCAAAGATACATATATCGGGCGCGTCATAATGAATGAGACTCTCAGTGTTTTCTATTTTTCTTTAGTGGTTTTTTAGGATTCTAAGGTTAATGTTTTTTTTAAAAGATGCGCCACGAAATACTCTACAAAACCCTACATCTAAACTTTAATTTCAGAACTTTAGTCAAGAAAAGTTCGCAAATTATACGAAAGGTGAAAAAACTGAAAACTTTGCAAATTTTGTATTCCTTTCGACTTGAATCGACTTCTGCTATAATTTTCGAAAAAAAGTGTAGCAAAAGTGAGAACCCAGTCTTTTGTACTTTTGAATGTTTTGAATGATGCTGTTGCTGGTGGTCTGTAAAACGAGCTTTTAGAGCAGATGGTGTGCTGAAGGACAAAGTTTTAAAAATTGACAACCGCCCGTTTCCAGAAATGTGCTGAAGCAAGAAATGGAAAATATTATCGAAGTTTGATTTTGTAGTTAAGTAGAAAAGAGCGATCATTTCTGATTAAAACAAAACAAACCCGATAAAAAAATCTTTTGTTTTGATGGAGTATGGGACGTTTACTGAAAGCATCACTATATATCCAGAATTTAAAAAATTAATGAAAAAATGCGTGACAGACAACAGAAAAATTATTATTTCTCGATGGATATTAAAGTGTGAAAAAATGTAAAAATGTAGCTAAAAGATAAAACGAAGTTAGGGCTACATAATGACTGATTCAGATTTTCTTACTTTCAAAACATTAATACAAGAAATCGTTTTTGAATTTACGAAGTTTTCAGTTTTTTCGCTTTTCGTATAATTTGCAAACTTTTCTTGTGCTGATTAAAATTCTCAAATTAAAGTTTAGGTATAGTTTTGTACAGTATTTCGCGGCGCATCTTTTAAAAAAACACTAACCTTAGGATCCTAAAGAAGCCCGAGAAAAATAGAAAATACTGAGTCTCATTCGTTATGACGCACCCGATTAGATACATATCAGGGCAGCAATAGTTGTGAAAAAAAGAGGACATTATTCCGCACACCAGTGACATCGATCGCTCACTCTGATAAGAATTTTATTGGCTAAAATTTACCTCACTAAGAAGTTTACTTAGTATTAGTTTGAGCTGTCAACAATTTAAACATCCCCAGTGACTTAACTAGGATTTTGATCATTGGGCCAACTCCTCTAGTTCGAAAAAAACCGTTGGACCACACTGTAACATTTGAAGAAAACACCGAGACAAAAAACCTTTTTTCACATTTTCAGCTTGGAAAATTACAAAGTTCAAAATCTCATTGGATCAAGGGTCAAATCGCAATGCGATATGTAGTACGGGTGTACTCAAACACTAGAGTACGTGGTTATTAGTCCTAAGTCACAACGTTTACTAGTTTTCGATTCATGTTCGTGAATACAAACACGAAATGATGATGCTCAATTATGGAGAAAAATGCTGACACAAGTCGGATGGTTATGTTATAACCGCTTGGTAAATATCCACATACCGCCAGGTTGGATATGGGACCTGTTTCTCAAAAAAACTTAAGTTTTACTTAAGTAAAAAATTTCGCTTAAGTAAAGTTGTCTACTTAAATGATTTTCTCAAAAACACTTAAGTATAATTTCCTGTTTACTTAAGTGAAATTTTTCACTTAAGTAAAAGTTAAGTTTTTTTGAGAAACAGACCCCTGATCTTCTCACGGATAAAATGAAGAGAAAGAAATGTGTAATCGTATCTAACCCACACGTCAGAGCCGTAGGACGAACCATTATATAAGAAAATCTCCTTGAGATTATTGTCCCCAGTGTTGCCTGTACTTCCCTTCCCCCTCCCCCCCCCACCCGAATAAAAGGCCACCTTTAATAGAAGGCAGTCTGGAGCGGAAATGTTTGACACATCATACAGGGGTAGGGCAATTTTTCACTCAAAAAAAAAGTGCGATGTGAGAAACCATAATAGAAGGTTATGGCCTTCTATTCTGGGGAGGGATGATTTACGAAGTAGAAAAATTGAAGTGAGTATCTTTCTCACATTAGACAATGTATTATAAATACAAATACTTAGCAGTAATGCTCGAAAACGATTAATTAGTTTTGCAAAAGATATCGTAGCTTGGTCTACTTCTACATCAATGCGTTTCAAATTTATCCTCGTTGCTCACTGATGCTTAAGTGTTATCTTTATTTTTTTCTAGGCAAGTGTTGAGAAAAAAGATATTCTAGTTTCTGTTTTTCAAAGTAGTCTTTCACATTCTTCAACCTTGTGTGGTGATTGTACGTAATCTTTTTGTAGCAGTAGACGTTGAAATACGCCTATGCGCGTGCCTTAGTGCACATTATGCGTTCTCTATTCTTACAGTCTTTACTTGTCAGAATTATATTTTTTCATGACCAGAAGCAGTGCAAAAGTATCCATTTTCAGATGTCAAATAGTGCTGAATTATCAGCGGAAACAGCAACAGTAGCAACAGCTCATACGACTCATATTCCGGTACATAGACAGGCAAGTATCATTTTCTCAAAAATCAATTTCATTTCTTTTTAATTATGATTTATCATTATGTTATAGGAACTATTAAAATGGAATGGTTAGTTGTTTATTTAGTACATATTTTTTGTTCACATTTCTTGTCTTGATGTTTAGGGTGGGGATATAAAGATTCAAAATTTGTACTCAATTCAAATGGTTTAATTGAATTTTCTGGTTCACGTTATTTACTCAGTGGTCACGTATTACCACGTCTGAAAGAATTTATGTTCAGTAAACTGGGAGCAACAACAGATATTTACACACCGAGTGTGGCAGAACCAGATCCACTGTATAGACCAAAACCAGTTATAAATGAAAGTTTTATGCAACAATACTTAACACAATTAAGTACAATGGAATATTCATCGGAGGTAAATGATCGTCTATTTCATGCACATGGTCATACATTAGAAGAAATATGGAAACTAAGACACGGTGGACAATTTGAACGTATACCTGATTTAGTTGTATGGCCATGTACACATCAAGATATTGAAAAATTAGTTGTACTAGCTTGTGAGCATGATATTTGTTTAATACCATTTGGTGGTGGCACATCAGTGACATGGGCATTGTTATGTCCAACGAATGAACAGCGTATGATTGTATCCGTTGACACATCTCAAATGAACAAAATACTTCATATTGATGAAAAAAATTTGACAGCCAGAATTCAAGCAGGAATCATTGGTCAAGATCTAGAACGAGAGTTATCTAAAAAAGGTATGACAAATCATGTTTCGAAATCATTTCGTACTATATTTTTTTATTTCCTAGGCTACTGCACGGGTCATGAACCAGATTCAATGGAATTTTCCTCTCTTGGAGGATGGGTAGCTACAAGAGCATCGGGAATGAAGAAAAATGTGTATGGTAATATTGAGGATTTACTGGTTCATGTGAAAATAGTAACACCTAAAGGAACAATGGAAAAAAGTTGTCTCGGTCCACGACAATCAACTGGTCTGGATATTCATCATTTTATACTTGGTTCAGAAGGCATTTTAGGAATCATAACTGAAGTAGTACTTAAAATTCGTCCGTTACCACAATGTAAAAAGTATGGTTCAATTGTATTTCCTGATTTCGAATCTGGTGTTGAATGTCTGAGAGAAATCGCACGTTTACGTTGCGGTAAGATTGATAATTAAATGTTATTTGTCTTCAGTTTATATTTACTTCTTTTCGTTTCTCTCTCTCATATAGCTCCAGCATCAATACGTTTATTGGACAATGAACAATTTGTGTTTGGACAAGCGTTGGCTACTGATTCAAAAGGCATTATTCATTCACTAATGGATAATATTAAAAAATTATATATCACAAAAATAAAAGGTTTTGATGTGAATCGAATGTGTGCAGCAACATTATTGTTTGAAGGATTAAAGAATGATGTTAATCAACGAGAAAAATTTGTCTATGATATTGCACAAAAATACAATGGGATTCCAGCTGGTAAGACTGAAATTTTAACAGCTAATTAACTATCTTCTTGATTTGCTTGTGTATCTATTTAGGTGAAGAAAATGGACTAAAAGGATATACATTAACATTTATGATTGCTTATTTACGAGATATTGGTTTAGATCATAAGGTCGTTGCCGAATCATTTGAAACATCAGTGCCGTGGGATCGTGTAATTGATTTATGTCGTAATGTTAAAAGATGTATTGTTAATGAGTGTCTGAAATATGGTGTCAAATATCCTCCATTTGCATCTTGTCGTGTTACGCAAATGTATGATGCAGGATGTTGTGTATATTTCTATTTTGTTATGAATTATAATAATTTGAGTGCTGATCCCATAGATGTTTATGAAAAGATTGAAGAAGCAGCGAGAGACGAAGTATTAGCTAATGGTGGTAGTCTATCACATCATCATGGTATTGGAAAAATAAGAACAAAATGGATTCGACAAGCTGTCGGTGATTTGGGCGTGGGAGCAATGTTAAGTGTCAAACAGTATCTTGATCCAAAAAATATATTCGGAAATAAAAATCTTATACCAGGCGATAAAATAGCACATTTTCAGTCAAAATTATAGAAGAATCAATTGTCGTCTTGTAATCAAATACATTGAAGTTAAACTATGTCTGTGATTTTTTAGAAAATTATCTTTTTAAAAAGAAAATGAAGATTATCTTTAAGTAAATTTAAATCTCCTTACATGTCTGTGTGCTGGATCAACTCAAAAGGTAAATTCCAATGAGTTCCCATCTGAATGTGTTTTTTTACTACGACTAATGGCTTATAAACGTCGTTTCGCGTGTTTCTTTAGCGGTGAGCACATCATCACTATACAACTTTCCGTTTTTGCGGTGCTAGTTGCTATTTATCTTATGTGTTCTTGTGTTTAGTTTTTATTTGTGATGTTGTCAGTCATCATATAACTTATTTTTTTGTTTTGACTCATTGAATCGAATTGTCTTGTTTAACGGTAAGAATAGATACATTCTTCTACATTAGTTTTTAATTGATACGCTCAACATTTTATTCTCTATATTATTTCTCTATCTTATATTCTAACTCTTCATTTAATAATTTTAGATTATTGATTACGATATTTGATGAAATGACGTCAATACGTCAATTTAAATTGACAGATTTACTCAGGATAAATAACGTGTAAGAATATTTTTGTTAATAATCAAAATCAATATAGAATTACTCATTTAGATTTATTATTTTTTATTCCTTTTAGAAATTTAGATATATTTACTGAAAATGTATCCTTTATATTTGGTTAAGTGTTCTATAACAGTTTAAAACGTTAGTTAACTCTCATATTTTCACATTTTATATATTATCTAGTTCTTAATAAAAAATATTTAGTATGGTCTTTCATTTTATTTACACTACTTGACAAGATGGCCAGAATGTTTTTTCGTCGCAGAAAATCCTGCTCAACGTCTCATGGGCTATAGTTAGTAAATTTTTTACTTTTTATTCATCGTTATTTAATATATGTTTTTTGATTTTAGTTATGGGAAAGATTGAAGGTAAATTTTATCATTTTAAATTATGATTCTAATTTGTTATAATTATTAATTCAGGAAAACAAGAAAATTATCATGGACATGTAACAGCATTATCTGTTGCACCAGAATTTCGTCGTATTGGCATATCAAGTAAATTGATGTCACTTTTAGAAAATGTTTCTGAAAGGTATATCATCATCTCGTCAAAAGTCTGTCTCTCATCTATGTAGTCTTTTATTTAGGAAGAAAACGTATTTTGTTGACTTATTTGTTCGTGTATCGAATAAACGAGCCGTTGATATGTATCAAAAATTAGGCTATTTCGTTTATAGAAGGATAATTGGCTATTATTCGGGAGAAAGAGATGAAGATGCATTTGGTATGTCCTGTTATTCGATTTTATTAAAACAAATGTCTCTAATCTTTTTTATCTCCTAGATATGAGGAAAGCCTTATCAAGAGATGTGGATAAAAAATCAATTATTCCAATTCCGCATCCAGTAAGACCAGAAGATCTACAAGAAGACTAATCTATAAAAAGTTGATCTACAAACGGCAAGCAAATCTAACGTAGATTTGTCGTATGTTTTCTTTTTATAGTTTAATAAATAATGACTAATTTTTTGTTGCTGTTTCTTATTCATTCATATCGGGCTAATGTTGTTTTTGTATTAAAAAAAATAAATATAAAAATTAAACATCTAATAATTTAAACACATTTCATCCGCCTCGTCTATGGTAAACTTAAAGTTTCTCGATGCAGATTTATTGATGTTCTGAAAAGTAATAGAAATACTTCCTCTTCTTGCCATTTGAAAATTAATCATATTGATAACAGTGACATTTTTTTATTTATTACAAATGATAAGAAAAATATAAAAATGGAAAATAAAAGAGATATCATCAACTAAAAAATATCACGTAGAAAGTTTACATTCATGACTTGTTGGTGGACAGTTATCGTATTCTTTTAAATTTGGATTATTTAATTCTGTTTCCAAAATACAAGCACAACGTTCAATTTTCTTTTCTGTGCTAAATAAACGTCGTGGAAATCCAATCCAACTTCTTTCGATTCCACCACTATAAAGTACAACGAAATAACATTAAATTAGATTGAAGTATATTTTCTCAACTAGTCTACCTTTTGTTTGTACACCACACACGTTTTCCTGTCGCTTGAGAAAATTCATTATTACATGGTGGATATTCTTGTTGTTCTTTTTCATTACGTTTGTTTTTCTACAAAAAAAAAAAAAAAAAAAAAAAAAAAAAAAAAAATTTAAAAAATTTTTAAAAAAAAATAGTATATGGTAGCCCTAACCGGTTTTAATAATAAAACAAAATTTAAAACGTTGAACCATTTTTTTGGGGGATTACATTTTTTTAAAAAATAACGTCCAATTAATTTTCCTGTAGTTGAATATAAAAACTGTGTGTACTCTTGTTTTCTGAAACAATATTAGAGACATGATTACCTATGAATGAGTAATCTTTATAGTAAAATTGTAACCATTCATATACACTAGAAATATCTTCATCGTTCAAACCCGTTAAATCGTCTGATAATCCTTGTTCTGACATATCGCCTGTATTGAAACTTCGCGATGCATCTCTTCCTAAAAATCAAAAAGTGTAGAGATAATAAAGACAATTTTCAAAATAGAAGAAATGTTTACCAACGAAAAGACGATAACTGCCATCTGCACCATAGAATTTGGGAGCTCTTGAAACATTAAATACATGACCTGAAGTGAAGTCATTTGATTATATACATGTTAAATCATGTTATTTGATTCTTTTACCTAAAATGGCAAGATATAATTCTACACTTGCAGGTCCTTGATATTGTTTTAACTCTTCCAATTGAAATAGTCGAGTAGTTTCCGTTGACTTTTGAGGATTATCAGTTTTGAGTTTTTCTTTAACAATATAAGCTAGTAACACACCAAAAATAATCAGAAATAGTGGCTGATAACGTTTGATACTATTACTAAAATATTGAAAAAAATCTATAAGCATATGGATGAGACACTTAGATTTTGTATCGATTGCGAAAGGTACCGAGCTCTTTAATTATTTTGTTTTATAATCTTATTGAGATCTTTTGTGCTTGAACCATACCCATTTTTATTTACCATATTTGTAACTGTAAACACTATGAATGTCTTTTATCGAGAAAAAGTATTTCAGTTCCAGCAAATGTATATCAGAAGAGATCAAGTAACGATTTTTCTAGTACACTTCATCTAACTTATTTCTTTCGCTCAATTTAACATTCTAATATTTATTTTTCCCCTAATTACATCATTGATAATAAGTGTATCAAGCTTAATTTAACAAGTGAATGATATTTAGTGTATGAAAAGACAATCTCTCTTTGTAGTAACTTCAGGCTTATTTGTAAATGTAAAATGTTTATGTGCCATTTAGTTGTGACGATTAGTTCTATCGAATTAGTAGCCAAAAATTGAAGGCGGAGCCCACCTATTACTGGTGAGAAATATGAAAAAAAAAGAATTTGTACTTTGATATTTTGTCAGCATTTTTCTCTTGATCTTTAACGTTGTTGTTGTCATTGTATTCATTTCTTTTCGATGATTCTTCTTTAGACATTTCGTTATGCTAAGAAAGAAAGAAATGTGAAAAAAAGAGAAAGAAAATAAGAGAAATTTTTTTATATGTATTATTTGAAAAAATTTACTAGAAAAAATGAAAAATACAAAACGAGTTATGTAAAAGACATATTGATCTAATAAATATGCATAGCCATTTTTTAAATTTACTCCTACATGAAAAAGTCCAGATAAACACTGTCATCGATTAAACCATTTCCCGTTCGATCATAGAAATGTAAGAAACTTTAAAAAACTATTGTTCAAATATAAATTTGATTATTAATGTGAACGTGTGAAAATTTTATATAAAAGATGCAATACTCTAGTTAGTAATTATTATGTTTTATAAACTCAAAATGACATCACGAAAAGTATAATCCTTCTCATAAAGAGAAACTATAATTTCTAGAAGCATATAGTACATGATGATCGGTAATAAGTTTGTGGCTATCGTAAATCGATTATGAGATCACGCGAAAACTATGATTAATGTTCGAAATTAGAAGACGACGATTAATTGATAGGTCTATACAGTAGAAAATATCATAATGTTGGTAGAAGAGTCCTATATAGCCACATCATTACTAGGATATGTTAAAACTCTTACATCATCCTATCTTTCAAACAAAAATCTTTGATTTCACCAATCAGAACAACACAAGACCAATAAGAATTTCTAGATGTTGATAGTAAGAGTTTGTTAGTAATTAGTCATAAAGGCAGTAGTTTGACTAAATAACGTACAAGGTACGCACGTCTTATACCGTTCGATAGATAAATACAAGTATGCAAGGAAAAGTTTTATTATTGTGTGATAAAAAAGTTATATCACATGTCAAAAAGAAAAAAAAACACGGAATTATTATTTTCATCTTCAATAACTTTTAAAAGAATCTGAGAGAAACTTTTGTATACTTCTCTATAAAACTTAAGGACTATTTCAAACACATTCTGAAAAAATAAATATAAAATTATTTTTCTAACAGACTTTTTCCTGAATATGTTTCTATTTTTCTATCATTGAACGGGAATTGATCAAGGTTTCTTGTTTTTCTTGCCAAATACGGAACGGAACATTGCTTTTTTAATCTTTTAATGGGCTTTTACAATTAAAGTAAAAACATATCAAATTTTTCCTTGGTTGATTTTATAAAAAATTTTTACTTGCACTTGAATAAATATTCATTCACTAGTCTTTAGAAGAACAATAGAGTGAGAAGAGAGAGAGAGAGTAAAAGTAAATATAAAACTAATAGACATCTCGCTCAGAGATATTATTAACTGGGAACGAATGAAAGATTAAAACAGATCAAGAAGGAGACACAATGAAAAAGTTGAAAAATGAAATCATAAAGTAAATGTAAGGTCATACCATGGTGGAAAACCGTTGTTTGCAAATAATAATAAAAAAGAAAAATGTGCGCTATTCATTTTCTTGTCTCTTCATTAGAACTGCGACAAAAATCATTTCTTTTCTTTTGAAATGAAATTTTTTTCTTTCTAACGTTTTTTCTCTGTTATATAGTGTGAAATATATGAAACACGCTATTTTCCTTTTCTGTGCGTATGTTCTC